TCCGGTGCCGCCCGGCCCTGATAAGGACCGTCGGTGGCCTGGTCCACCTTGCCCTTGGACGACCTAGCCTCGGCAGTGGAGGTCGAGCTGGCCGCAATTCGGACCGGCGGTGGCAAATTTCGGCGTGCGGCGGCTTCTTCCGACACGCGCTGACAGATTCTGGTGTGTTTCGGGTAGATTCCGGCTAGTTCTGTGGCGGTGCGTCTGCTCCGACAAGGTTTGACCAGTTTATGGGTTGAACTGTATACTACCTTCAAAAATGTACATACGAGGTTCTCGCAGATGGATTTTTAGTGTCATTTAAAAGTTTTAAGGCCGATCGGGTTTTACGGGATCTGCTAGGCATCATTTTTTTCGACCGAAACTATAAACACGGATTTTTTACGGGTTTGACCGCTTTTAAGGGGTCTGCTAGAGATGTTCTAAGAGCATATCTACAGACTCCTTAAAAATGCGCAAACTGTAAAAATCCCCTCCCCCGGCAGTATAACTACGGGTTCGCAGTGAGTATTCGGGGCCAAACCCTATCCATGCGCCACCACAATCCCCTCTCCTCTTACGATTTCTCGTCGCCGATGAATTGAATCCGCCACCGCACTCCACCATGTGGCGCATGATGTGGAGCTCGGTGCTACTTCTTGAGATTGCATTGGTTTTTCCCTTGAAGAGATAATTATTTCCCTCAGCTAGAGAACCAAGGTATCAATCCAGTAGGAGACAACGAACAAATCACCAATACATGCACAAACAATCAAACAACTTGCACCCAACGCGATAAAGGGGTTGTCAATCCCTTCACAATCATTTGCAAATATGAGATCTGATAGAGATGGATAAACAAAGATAATTTTTTGGGTTTTTTTGGTTTATAGATCTGAAAGTAAAATATTGCAAAATAGTAGATCGTAAACTAACATGATGAAAAATAGTAGATCGGAAACTTCTATGATGGAAAATAGACGCAGGGTCCATAGGTTTCACTCGTGGCTTCTCTCAAGATAGCAAATACGGTGGGTGAACAAATTACTGTCGAGCAATTGATAAAAAAGCGCAAAGTTATGACGATATCTAAGGCAATGATTATAAAATATAGGCATCACATCCGTGTCAAGTAGACCGACTCCTACCTGCATCTACTACTATTACTCCACACATCAATCAACTCCTGCCTGCATATAGAGTATTAAGTTCATGAAGAACAGAGTAACGCATTAAGTAAGATGACATGATGTAGAGGAATAAACTCAAGCAATATGATGTAAACCCCATCTTTTTATCCTCGATGGCAACAATAAAATATGTGTCTTGCTGCCCCTACTGTCACAGGGAAAGGACACCGCAAGATTGAACCCAAAGCTAAGCACTTCTTCCATTGCAAGAAAAACCAATCTAGTTGGCAAAAAAAAGATAGTTCAAGAGAATTACAAAGATATCAAATCATGCATATAAGAATTCAAAGAAGATTCAAATAGTATTCATAGATAAGCTGATCATAAATCCACAATTCATCGAATCTGGACAAACACACCGCAAAAGAAGATTACATCGGATAGATATCCAAGAATAGCAAGGAGAACATGGTATTGAGAATCAAAGAGAGAAAAGAATCTATCTAGCTACTAGCTACGGACCCATAGGTCTGAGGTAAACTAGCCACGCTTCATCGGAACAGCAATAGAGTTGATGTAGAAGCCCTTCATGATCGAATCCCTCTCCGGCAGGATGCTGGAAAAGGCCCCTAGATGGGATCTCACGGGTACAAAAGGTTGCGGCGGTGGAAAAGTGTTTTCGTGGATGCTTCTGGTGGTTTGGGGATATATGTGAATATATAGGACAAAGAATTAGGTCAGGCGAGTCACGAGGGGCCCACAAGGTAGGGGGCGCGCCCTACCCCCCTGAGCGCGCCATCCCCCTTGTGGCCACCTCATGGCTCTTCCGACTTGATCTCCAAGTCTCCTGGGTGTCTTCTGATCCAAGAAAAATCATCGCGAAGGTTTTATTCCGTTTGTATTCCTTCTCTGCGAAGCTCAAAAATAAGGAAAAAATAGAAATTGGCACTGGGCTCTAGGTAAATAGGTTAGTCCCAAAAATAATATAAAATAGCATATTAATGCATATAAAACATCCAAAACAGGTAATATAATAGCATGAAACAATCAAAAATTATAGATACATTGGAGACTGATCAATTGTAATATAGCGGGGTTTTTACGCCCAAACTACGGATGTCGTGTTCTCCACAGGGACTAGGCGACGACGACTTTGCTCGGCTAAAGCTAGGTAGCACAATTTTAATGATGGGAACAGAGAATAAACCTAAACTATCAAGATTGTTGCCAATGAAAATGCAGATAAGCAAAGGCAGATTCAGATTTTACTAACTTTCTTTTTGGTATTTTTGTAATACTTGAGAAATTAAGACACTAACACAAAGGGGAATAATATGACAAGGACACATATATAACTATCATACATGAACAAAGGGAAGAAACAATACTAAGACAGGGACGAAAATATATCACAACACAAACACACATATATGTATATATCACAGGACACCACACACATATGAAGAATATTGTTTCACTAGACAAAGTATGCAGGTCAAATATTTCGCATAACAAACATATATATCCACATGTACATAGCTAACACAGGGACTAAGAATTTAAAGAGGTTCAAACTTCTCACTTGACAGAGCACACAAACAACACAAAATTGACTACTAATCTTAGTTCTTACAAAAACACTAATTGATAAACAGGGCACATATATTGAATAATACTACTAGACAAGTATAGGTCTCTGAACTAAAGAAAATACTTAATACATTACAATTTCCATGAATTACAGAGAGGGAGAAAGAGAACGGCAAGTTCAGTTCGAGACGAGCAGCAGCAGAGATAAGGGAAGAAAAGAGAAGCAGCAGCAAGGTTAGGAGCAGCAGGGGACGCAGGAGAAATGGAGCAGAGTAGCAAGTAGGGGAAGAGAAGCAGCAGCAGATCGCGCAAGTAGAGCAGCAGCAGATCGGGATCAGAGTAGAAGCACCTGTTGGTGCAAGTGAGGAGCAGCAACGGGGCTTGGAGAAGGGGAGCAGGGTCAGTTCGGCAAAGAAGAAAGAGGAGGCAACAGCAGGTGGGGGCGCGGGAGAAGAGATGCGGCAGGGGATTGAGAAGGAGGAGTAGTAGTAAGAGGAGTTGGGGGAGAGGGGAGATGGAGATTTGGAGAAGGAAGAGCAGCAGGGACGCGAGGAGAAGGGAGGAGCAGCAGGGGAAGAAGAGATCGTGCGAGCGGTAGCGCGGCGGCGAAGATGGAGATGGCGCGGTGCTGGTGGTGGTGTGAGGTGCGGCTCGTGGGAAGTGGTGCTGGTGGTGCTGGTGCGTGGTGGAGATGGTCGTGGCTGGCGGCAATGGTGGTGATGGTGTTATGGTGAGGGGCGCACGACCACGCCGGCCTGGCTGTGGCGGCGGCCGGAGGTGGAGAAGGAGTTGGGGGAGAGGGGAGATGGAGATGCCAGACCTGGTGGGGAATGGAGGCGTGCTAGGGATTTTGATCCCCCATGATCTGATCTGTCTTTTTTTACTTTGGCCCTCCTCCTTTCTTCTTTCTTCCCAAGAAGATCCTCCTCTTCTTTTAGTTTGCTCCCCTACATTACTTCTTTCCTTCACGCTCAAGCCTTGACGTATTTCTTTCATGCCCTTCTCTCTTCTCGTTAGCCACATAGTAGAAGTCTTGACGATTATAGTGCCTTTGCGCACTTTTCTGCAAAATAAACAATTCACTAGTCAACATTCTCTTTTATGATTATCATTCGAATATTCAACAAGTCATAGCAAGAATGGATGGATATATCTCAATAAATGGTGAATTTGTGTGCCCAAATAGTATATAAGAAATGTGCTTATCAAGTTCCCCCACACTTAAACTTTTGCTTGTCCTCAAGCAAAGGAATATGACAAGAGCTAGATAATGAACAGTGAGCTGACTGGAGAATGTCCCAGTGAAGTAGATATCCAAACAAAGCATGCTTTGGACTTAGCTAATGAAAATTAATGGTCAAGAGTGCTAAAAAGCAATAGGATACTAGTTGACTCAATCATTTTAAACTTTTACAATGATAAAAGTGGATCAACAAGTTCAAATGATGATTGTGCCAAAGGTTCCTAAAGAGAGCATGATCCAGAGCACAAAAAAGAACATAAACTTGTGATCAGTTCACTTATTTACAGAAGTAAAGCAATGATAATATTTTGTCGATCTCACTAAAGGAACATACCACCGATCCCGAGAACATGGTATACACCTGGATCGACCAATTATTAGTTGTTTTTTTTGTTTGTCTCCCCAAAGGAACATACCACCGATCCCGAGAACATGGTATACACCTGGTTCGACAATTACATTTTTTTATTAATAATTACTGCCCAAGCTAACCCGATTTCACATGCCACCGATCCCGGGAACATCACATGCTACTGTAGGTAGTCAGACTTATTTATTCATTATTACTTATCTTAAATGAACAACGCTTAAGCACAAAAATAGGAATCATCACTTCTCCATGTCTGGTTCACATGCTACCGATCCAGGGAACATAGCATGCTAATCCATAGTGGTTAAGTGATTGCTCTCAATGGGAACACATTAGGCACAAATTCAGCATCTAAACGTGGTGATCAAGGTGCATCGAGGTAAAAGCAGAAAATGATTAACTTTTCTAGTGTACTAGGGATTTGAGCACTCAAAACTAATAACTTTCACTAATTTCAGCAAAGCAAGCAATATGTAGATCACTAGTTTACATGGCATTCAACAATCAGTTCGGATATTCTCATCAAGCACCATATGTCAAATAAAATCAGTGGGGCAACATTTAAGACATGGCTTAAGCAACCCAAATAATATTTGATTTCAGCATGTATCAATGGATGATATACTAGGAATGGGTCATGAAACAGCTCACCGGGTTTTTATAGGAAGTAGCACTCGCTCGACACTCTCTAAACTGGAACTCTTCTCCTTTGCTTCTCTATCCTCATGCTTGCTCCAGCTTCTCTCTTCATGTGTGCTCCTTGCTTCTCCTCATCCCCATGCCATAGGTCCACCAGGGTCCCAGGGAATGTCATCTCGAACTTGGTCAGCATGTAGTGGATCGTGCACAAGCAAGAACCTGAAAGAGCACTCAACGAAAGAGACAATGCAAGTGGTAGGGATAATACCCTCCAAGTCATCAATCGAATATCCAATTACATAAGCATAGCTATAAAGCACATGTTTAGGATGGTACAAATCAGTAAGGTCGACACTAACATGAGGATAAAATTTATCATTAAGCTCAAGACTAGCATGGGAATAATATGTTTCATTAAGCATAGGACTAGCATAAGGAAAATAAGTGTCATCATCAGGAATGAGAGCAATGCCACCAACAATGTATGTATGATCATGTCCAAGCAAATAATTTTTCAAGTCTAGCTTAATTGATGGTATAACACAATGGACAGTAGCAGCAAAGATCTCATAAGGAAGCATGTCATCAAGAGGATTGGATAAACCTGCTAAAACACGCTCCTGTATGACGATGGGCAAATGCGTTTCTAGTTCTTCATCTTCAATCACATCAACTTCTTTTGCTTCTTCAAGAGTAATAGATGATGAGTCTTCAACTTGATCACTTTGTTGTTCGAGCTCTGGATCATCTTGTGCCTTGGCTTCGAGAATTTCTTCTTGGATCTGAAGTATCTCTTCCTCTGGACTCTCGCTATCTTGCTCAGCTGAATGTGAAGGTGTTGGAACCTCACATGTATGACTAGAAATCTCAACAGCACTCAGCTCAAGGAGAGATGAGATAGTACTACCAGCGTTGATGTTCTTCTCAATCTTCCTTACTTCATCCACTAGCTCTTTTCCACTCTTGATATTCTTCATTTCATCTAGTATCATCGGCCTAATTGGATCATCCTCAGCACTCCAAGGGAACTCGAGACTAAGCAATGTGAGCTTGTCTATATCATCAAATTCATCTTGTGTGGGCACTTGCACATGAGATTGCTCAGTAGTTGCTGGAGTTGTTGGTTGACCAAATGGAGGACCATTTAACTCCATTGGCAACATCTCCTGGTGTTGAGGTATATGAGTAGGAGCTGAATAAATCTGTTGTGGAGCATAGTTGTGGCTCTCCTCATTGTACCTAAATCCCTGCATATGATTACTAGAAGCAAACGGTGAGATCTCAGGGTTGTTGCTCCTATATGACATATTCGGGTTTTTAGGCCACCCATATGAGTAATTGTTTTGGTATGAGCTATGCTCTTGAGCGAAGCTCATGCCAAAACAACCTGGAGTGTGAGAGTAGCCACGCTAACATTCAGCGGGCAAATGGCCCTGAAATCCACAAATATGGCAAGTAGGAGCAACATAAGGATGGCCTCTGGAATAAGGATCGTAAGAACTAGGCCTATCCTCAAAAACTACTTCTCGCTGCCGAGCTAAATCATCTAATCGATGGGAAATCTTACCTATCAGTTCTTGAATACTTTCCATGCTGTTTGTAGTGTTGCTCGCATAAGCCTGATGATCTGAATAGTAAGCCATAACCGAGAAGATAGTTCTAACCTGCCAAAAGAAAAGAAAACAGAAAGAAAATGATCTAGAACAAGGATTAGTGGTTAGAGATATATCACATATAGATGTCACAAAAAGAAAACAAGAAAAACCTAGTCTATAGCCTAACACAGTCACACGACGCTAGTCCCCGGCAACGGCGCCAAAATGATCAATTGTAATATAGCGGGGTTTTTACGCCCCAAACTACGAGTGTCGTGTTCTCCACAGGGACTAGGCAATGGCAACTATGCTCAGCTAAAGCTAGGTAACATGATATTGGGTGATGAAAATAGAAAATAAACTAACAGTAACAAGAGTATCAATAAAGGAAAAGACACAGAAACAAAGGGAGGTTCAGATTGTACTTTTAGTCTTTTTGGTATTATCGTTTTACTTGAGAAAGTAGACACTGACACAAGAATACAAATATGACCAAAGGGAAACAACAATACTAGAACACATATATTTATCTAATAAATGTATAACAGAGAGAAGAAACAAGATAAAGGGCATGGATGATAATGCTTCATGTCACAGCAAATATTACAGGTACAGAGCTAATATAGAGACTGAAAATTAGATGATCACACAACTGACTACCACAAAGAGTAATTTCAATACAAAATAGAATCACAAGTAGTAATCTGAATTTATGCAAACCACTAACTGAAATACAGGCCCCATATATATAATTGTTTCACATCAAACACACACACATATGCATTTATATCACATGAACAATAAACTGGACACCAATCATCGGCAAGTATAGAATATGTGTGACATATATAGCTAGTTCTTACACGTCAACAAAAGTGACACTAAATTGCTCTACTTCTTGCAGATTAATAGAGAACAACCAAACAAGCACAAGTCTGAATAACACAAGGTCTAACACGTCTCTGATACATAGAAATTACAGAGAGAGAGAGAGAGAGAGAGAGAGAGAGAGAGAGAGAGAGAGAGAGAAGCAGTAGGGCGTGAGAGGAGCAGCAGAGAGAGTTGAGGGAGAAGCAGCAGGGGCGCAGCAAGAAGGTGCAGCAATAGAAGAAGAGCATCAGAAAGACAAAGAGGCAAGGAGCAAGAATAACGAGGCAAGGGAAGAAGAAGAGCAGCAGCAGTAGGGGAGGAAGAGAGAAGGCGCAGCAGTAGGTCAGGGAGATATAAAGCAGCAGCAAGGCGATGGAGAGAGGGAGTAGTAGCAGCAGGAGGTCGAGGGGAAGAAGGACAGCAACACAGGGGTGCAAGGAAGAGCAGCAGCAGAAGTAAGGGAAGGAGAGCTCGCGCGGAGGTTCAGACGCCCGCGTCCTCGTGTCTGATGGGACGCGTGAGTGGTGATGGTGGAGTGGTGGCGCTAGTGATGGTGGATGATGGTGCTGGTGGATGGAGATGGGTGATGTGGTGCTGGAGGTGGGTGGCGCGACGGCGAAGGTGGAGGCGCGGTGGAGCGGTGGCGTGCCCCACGCCGGCCTAGCTGCGGCGGCGGCCGGTGGTGGAGAAGGTGGGGTGAGGAAGATGGAGATGCCAGGCCCAAGGGGATCGAAGGCCACCTAGGGATTTTGATCCCCTCCCTGATCTGCCACTTTGCAGTTTGGCCCTCCTAATTCTCTTCTTTCTTCCCAAGTTGATCCTGCCATCTATAGCTTGGCCCCTCTGATTTCTTCTTTTCTTCATGGTCGGGTCCATTCTTCCTCCTCTTCTTCGTTCTCTTAGCCACTTAGTCCGGATCTTGAAGATTTATAGTGCCTTTGTGCACATTTCTGCAAAATAGACCAAAGACTAGTAAATGATCCTTTATATGATTTTCATGCAAATATTCAATATTTCACAGCAAGAATTGATGGTAATATCTCAATAAACCACATATTTGAGTGCCAAAAGATGAATATGAAATGTGCTTATCAGAGACGTATCAAGCATCTCCAAGCTTAATTCCTGCTCGTCCTCGAGTAGGTAATGATAAAAACAGATTTTTTTTTGGTGTGGAATGCTTCCTAACATATTTATCCACATAATTTTTCTTTATTGTGACATGAATGTTCATATCCATAAAATTCAAAACAAAAGTTTAATTTTGACATAAAAATAATAATACTTCAAGCATACTAACAAGGCAATTATGTCTTCTCAAAATAACATGGCCAAAGAAAACTATCCCTACAAAATCATATAGTCTGGCTATGCTCCATCTTCATCACACAAAATATTCAAATCATGCACAACCCCGATGACAAGCCAAGCAATTGTTTCATACTTTTGGTGTTCTCAACTTTTTCAACTTTCACGCAATACATGAGTGTGTGATGTTTGCTAGAACTACGTCAGTATTTCCCCAAAGAGGAAGGGATGATGCAGTATAGAGACGATAGGTATTTCCCTCAGTGATGAGACCAATGTTATCGAACCAGTAGGAGAACCTCCTAACACCATGTAAACAGCACCTGCACACAAATAATAAATACTCGCAAGCCGATGTGTTAAAGGGGTTGTCAATCTCTTTCGGGTACGGCGCCTCAAGTAGGCAACATAACGTGAGATAAATGTGGTAGATAGGATAAATAGATTGCAGAACAAATAAATTGTAGCAAGGTATTTTTGTATTTTTGGTTTAATAGATCTGAAAATAAAAGCAAAGGAAAATAGATCGCAAAGGTAAATATGACGAAAAGAGACACGGGGGCCGTAGGTTTCACTAGTGGCTTCTCTCGAGAAAAATATCAAGCGGTGGGAAAAAAATTACTGTTCGGCAATTGATAGAACTTCAGATAATCATGACGATGTCCAGGCAATGATCATTATATAGGCATCACGTACAAAATTAGTAGACAGGCTCCCGCCTGCATCTACTACTATTACTCCACACACCGACCGCTATCCAACATGCATCTAGTGTATTAAGTTCATGGGAAAAAGGAGTAATGCAATAAGAACGATGACATGATGTAGACAAGACCTATTTATGTAGAAATAGTGCCCATCTTGTTATCCTTAATAGCAACGATACATACGTGTCGTTTCCCTTTCTGTCACTGGGATCAAGCACCGTAAGATCGAACCCATCACAAAGCACCTCTTCCCATTTCAAGATAAATAGATCGAGTTCGCCAAACAAAACCCAAATATCGGAGATGAAATACGAGGCTATACTCAATCATGCATATAAGAAATCAAAGAAGACTGAAATAACTTTCATGGATAAAAACATATATCTGATCATAAACTCAAAGTTCATCGGATCCCAACAAACACACCGCAAAAAGACATACATCATATGGATCTCCAAGAGACCATTGTATTGATAATCAAGAGAGAGAGAGAGAGAGAGAGAGAGAGAGAGAGGAAGCTATCTAGTTACTAACTACGGAACCATAGGTCTACAAAGAACTACTCACGCATCATCGGAGAGGCACCAATGGACATGATGAACCCCTCCGAGATGGTGTCTAGATTGGAGCTGGTGTTTCTGGACTCTGCGGCGGCTGGAATTGATTTTCGTTGACTCCCCTAGGGTTTCTGGAATATTGGGGTATTTATAGCGCAAAGAGGCGGTGCGAGAGGCCAACGAGGAGGCCGGTACAACCCACTGGGGCACGCCTAGGCCCCTAGCAGCGCCCTGGTGGGTTGTGCTCCCCTCAGAGCTCCCCTCAGGTGCATTCCTGGCCCACTGGATGTCTTCTGGCCCAAAAAAAACCACAAAAATTTTCACTGCATTTGGACTCTGTTTGGTATTGATTTCCTGTGATGTAAAAAACATGCAGAAAACATCAATTAGCATTGGGCACTATGTCAATAGGTTAGTACCAAAAATGATATAAATGACTCTAAAATGATTGTAAAACATCCAAGAATGATAATATAATAGCATGGAACAATCAAAAATTATAGATATGTTGGAGATGTATCAGCATCCCCAAGCTTAATTCATGCTCGTCCTCGAGTAGGTAAATGAAAAAAAAACAGAATTTTTGATGTGGAATGTTGCCTAACATGTTCATCACATTTCTTTTCTTTATAGCATGGACATTTGGACTTTTATATGGTTCAAAGCAATAGCCTAGTTTTGACATGAAGACTTTAATACTCAAGCATACCAACAAGCAACCATGTCTTTCGAAATACCAACACTAAAGCAAGTTATCCCTAGCCCATTATGCTCAAGCATTAAACCATTCATGAAACACACTCGAATATTACACATACCCAATGCCCAAATACAATCATAGTGCCCCTTAGTTGGTGATTTATAAGATAAGATGGAGACTCAAATTCAAAATAAAAATTTCATAAAGTAAAAGAAAGGCCCTTCGTAGAGGGAAGCAGGGATTTGTAGAGGTGTCAGAGCTCAACGCGAAAACTGAGAGATAAAAACATTTTGGGAGGCATACTTTTCCCACCAATGAAAATGACTTAGAGCTCCCAACACTTTCCATGCTAGATACATCATAGGCGGTTCCCAAACAGAAAATAAAGTTTATTCCTTTTTCCACCATTACTTTCACTTTCCATGGCTAACCGTATCCACGGGTGCCCTCCATACCAACACTTTCCAAGGAATTTATTATTTGACAACATAAAGTAAATTCATTTTTCATTTCAGAAGTGGGCATCCCTAATACCTTTGTCGTACTCTTGTGCAATGACAAGTGAATAAACACTCATCATGAGAATAACACATCTAGCATGGAAAATATTGGCCACCCCTCACCGCCTCGCGAGCAGTA